ATATATATATAAAATGATTTATTTATTTATTATAATAAATAATATCAAATGATACATTATACATATATAACATATATATGATGTATTAACAAATGATTACAGATAATAACATAATATATATATATATATCAAATGATACGTTACACATATATAATATATATATATTATGTATATCAATTGATACATTATACATATATAACATATTTATTATGTGTTACAAATATTTATAATGATTTATTATATTTAATCAATTATTATTTATTACTCATTTGTATATGGTTTCATAAAATACTCATACAATTATAATTTGTTCTTTTATAATTTATGGCTTGATTGATTGATTTTCAACTATTGAAATTAAGATAGGATTAAATGGTTAAAATTAAACCTTACTACAAATATTTATATATAATAATAATAATATTGTATTGGCCAGGTCAGAGAATTCGGGTGAAGTGGGCCGAGGCGGGGCAAGATCAATCCCGTTCCCAAATTCAGGGACAGATTTTGAGCCCGGGCTTGACCCGAACTCCAAACAATTCGGGGAAACCTTGCCCCATTCAAGCGGGGCTGGGTTGGGTCCCCAACTTGGCTGGGACTATGCCTATCCTTAATTTAGAGATAATGTTTTATTTTTATACAAAATTTATTTGATTATTGTTTTAAATTATTTATTTCCACTGATTCCATGATAATTTATACAACAAAAGTTTAATGTGGCTGAAACAAAATTGTGTCACAAAAATTACCTCTAGATGGCTTAACAGTTCGAGTCTCTCCTCGATTACTAATAAGAATAACTGCTAAAGTTTTTACTTTTAAGGTCTAAAAAATCAGTTGGCCATAAAAAAAATAAAAAATGGTGTCACAAAATGCAACTGATTTGACATGGAATGAAGAATGTGACACTGTAGAAGGATAGTTTATTATATATATAAAAATACAGTAAAACCTCTCTATAATTATAATGTTGGGATCAATTAAATTTATTAGGGCATCTCCAACCCACGCCATTTTGGTATAAAAAACACCAAAATGGCGTGGGTTTTTGCTCTAACCCAGCGCTAGCGCCACACCAAATTGGCCTGGCACTGTAGGTTTTTTTTTTTTTTTTAAATTTTTGTTAAGTTAATTTGATATTTTGATTATTAAATTTTACACCAAAAATCACACCAAAAATGATGAAAAAGTAAAAGTAAGACTTTATTCAATGCAAATATTAAACTACAATAACTCAAAGTAAAAATTAACACTAATTTAAAAACTCTAGATCTAAAAAGCTTGAATGGACAACACATCTTTTTGAGCTTGAATGAATAATATCTTTTGAAATAAGCTATAAATTTAAAAAGCTTGAATGGACAATACATCTTTTTGAATTAGCCACAAATCTCAAAAGCTTGTCGTAGATGAAAAAATCCGATTTCAAAATTTTCTTGCTCGACATAGATAAATTAAGGATACGGAGGCTCATCATGCTCTTCGAAATGCATTAATTGATCATTTGTGGGAAGAACATGCTAATTCGGAAAATTAAATTACTATTAATATGAAATTTTATATTTGTGTTGTTATTATTATTATTTTTTTTGGTATCATTTTATATTGGATGTAATGTTTTTCTATATTAAATGTAATATTTATTTGATTAAATAAATGCTTAATTTTATTAAATTAGTATAATTTTCAAAGTAATTATTATTTAATAAAAATATCATTCACAATATTTAATTAATATATACAAAAATAACGAGTAAAATAGATTAATTGTTTATTATTATAATAAAAGAAAAAGAAAGAGAATGTTATAAAGAATATTCTTTTTAGTGTAATATTTGGTGTAGTAGGTTTGAGATGCAATAGTATTTTACACCAAAATTTGCACCAATTTGGTGCAATGGATTGGAGATGGTCTTACTATGAGGAGGTTATAATTTAATAAAGGTTTAGTTACAAGAATTATTGTTTTGATTTATTATTTATACTTCATGTTTTAGTAGTATTAATATTTCAATTCATTGTTTTAGTAATATTAGGATAGTACGAAAACAGATATTAAAGAGTTATTGAAAAATTGTGTGATCAGATTCGACAACTTCACTATACTAATCAAATGGATATTAATGTCTCCCTCAATTATTCAAATGAGCAACAAGTTGTGTATGTTTTAATTACTGAAGAAGAAATCATTACCGGAATTAGACAAGAAGAGGAAATAGATAATCTTCACGATGATAGTACGGAAATACCAAAAATTTCATGCTAAGAAGCTCTAAACATGTTGAGATCTAGAAATATTTTGGCTTCAATAAGAAGGTGTCCTCTTGACAACTTATTACGTACCCACATGATAAAAAATATAGTAACAACTCTAAAACATAAATCATTATCCCAAATAACTTTAGATAAATAATATATTTCATCTTAAACATTTAAGACAACATAACATATATTTTTTATAATATATATATAATTATTATCATGTAGAGGTAAGTTCCTTAAGACGGACCTAGAAAAATTATAATTTATTACAATGTGAAATTTATTCTTATTTATAACTAACCCAAATTGAGACCAAATTTTTTTATAACTACATAAAAATTATTACTATATAGAGTATTATTATAGAGATGCACTACGTGTCATACTTAAAATCACGTCCAGTATATTTATAATTTACATGTGATTGTCAAGCACTTTTTTTCTTTATATTTATAATTTACTTGTACCTTTTTTTTAGTAATTAAATGGGAGAGTTGTTCGAAGGTTGCTATAACATGATATAATTTGTTTTATCTATTGGATGTATACTTCAACTAATATCTCCCAATCAGAGTAATTTATTCACTTATTTTAAGGGGAATTATGTTTATAAGTCAAAACAATTAATTAATATTACTTATTATCTAAAGAAGTCTATACATTTTATGAACAAAGTTTATTTATTTAGATGATGATATTGATATATAATAAAAAGTTTATTTATATTTTGAGTTTCTAATATACACCCTTTTCAATTTGTCAACTTATAACTTAGCTGCTTGGACACATTTAAAGAGAACTTTTTTCCAAGTTTAAGAAACTTAAAAGTGATAAATTGATATAATTATTAAAAATTAAATAAATTATTAAAAAATAAGAAAAGTTAATTTATCATTTAAAGTTTAAAACACACATTAAAAACATTTTATTTTAATCAATAATGTTAGTAACTTGGCATATTCTACCAACTCCTTTTAGTTTAAACTGTTTAATTGTTTTATATTTATACATATAATTAAATAGTGAAAGACAATGAGTGGTTGGCAAGTTGGAACAAAAGAGCCATAAACTGAACTAAAGAAAGGCCGAGGAAGGGGTGGTGGCCTGGTGGGGGATTAAATTTAGAGAGAATTAATACCAGTGTCCCCAAAGGCCAAAACCACAGTGGTAGCCACTTTACTGAATGGATAAGCCTCTTTACTTAACTTAAGAGTAAATTAAACTTTTTGTCGGTGTAATTACGTTGACACGTCAGACAATAGTGACCTTATTCAAATTTATCCAATCCAATTCCACACTTCGCTGTCTCGCACTTTTACGCGTGAGTGCCCACAGTAAAATGCTCCACCTAAACTTGACTTTGATAGGCTCAGCTCTCTCCGGTTACAGGTTCTTTCCCCGATATCCAATTACTTATCGCCACGTCACACGTGCAAAAATCTTTTCTCCTCGTTCTTCCCGACAAGCTGACCGTAACTGGCGCTCTGTGATTTTCCAGTCTTTATACGAGAAGGAAAATATATTATAATCTTTTTACATATTTATTATCGGATTGAAATGACGTAAACACCCCATGAACAGAGACGTGGCAGGCGCAAACAGTATTGGAAATTGACAATAACGCCCCGCCAAAACTTGCCACCTTTAGAACGCAAGGGCGTGTTTGTCTTACACTAGTTTTAATATAAAAAACAAGCAACTAAGCAAGGTAGTCGAGTCAAATCCAACAACAATCCATAGGAAAACCAGAACACCCTAGATAAAATCAATTTTAATTAAATAATCATTTTTGGTTCAACATATAATAATAATAATAAAAAAAAAATCATGAGATTTATGAAATTAAAATGCAACAAATTAACAATATATGGAGTAAAATGATGGGGTACTGGTAAAGTAGAGAGAAAAGCGGTTTGTGAAAGGAACAATGAAACCGCAGGCAGTAATAAGGGCATTTTCACGGAAATAGAGGCATAGGCATTATTAATTTATTTTCTTAAATCAAACACCATTAATCACGAGGAAGGAAGCACAGCACTCACTCTTTTTGTGTATAAAAAGCTCCCTAGCCTCGCCTTATTCTCCATCCCATTTGTATATCCTCTCTTCGCTTTGCATATTTGCGTTATTTCTATTGGAGCTCTGCGTTCATTTCATTCATTGATTCGTTCTTCTGTTCATCTTCTTTCTTTGTATATTTTGTTGCATTTCAAGGTAATAGGATTAAAGCATTTTCCTTGAAGCTTCTTCTTCTCCGTTTTCGTTTTCTGATTGGTTCATTTCACACACTGAACATTTTATACTGCATAAATTTTGTACGTGTGACGGGTCACGATGCATTAAAAGCATAAAAAAATTAGCGGCCAGTAAGACGTAAAAAAAGTCATGGTTGTGATGATGATGATGATGATGATCAGACGTTCACCGTTCAGATTCACCTATACCTAAGAGACCCCACATACTGCATCTAGTAGTCTCTGTCTCGATTGTCGACCCTACACGCGTTTGCTTTCCTTTTTCTTCATTACTATTTCATCTCTCTCTTTTGTCTTTGATTGTAGGGTAAGTTTCTTGAACCACAAGAACTGTAAAAATATCGTTAGGTTACATTAAATATCTCTCCGGTTTTAAAGCTCAGTAATCATTGACTATTTCTTTAGTTGCATTTTTCTGCAAATTTTTCTTTCCGAAATCAAATTTTAATTCGGCTTCAAGTCTAGTGAAATTACTAAAGTACCCTCGAACCATTTTAATTTATTACCTGCCGTAGACAATTTCGGCATTTACCATTGTCGGGCTCTGGTAGTCTATAAATTTCAACGCCAGACTCCTACTTTTGCATTCCTTTTTCGTTCTTCCTTGTGTTGTGCCGTCTCTGTATTTCGTTTAGGTGCTTTATTTCTCTTTTTCTTGTTCGTTATTCTGTTTATTTTTAGTTCTGAATATTATGTCTTACGTATTCTTTACAAAGTTTCTGTTTAATATTTCATCTGGTCAATGTTTTGATGACAAACCAGTACTCTGTTTCTTTACACTAACACAGTTCTGGATCTTATTACAATTGCTAGTGATCTTGTTGTAGATTTTTTATAACTTCTTGGAATAAAAAAATCAGCTTCAGATTCTGTTGCTAGTCAAAGTTTGTTTCCCCTTTTTACATGATCCTGCAACTCTGTTTACTTGGTAATTAAGAAATTTGTTGAGTATGGTAAGCATGCACCAAATGCAGAGAGATCTTAATCTCTGTTTAAGTAAATTAAGACCGTAATCTTAGTTGAACTGTGAAAGACTAAACTTCAATTAATACGTTAATGTGGTTGGTTGGTGAGACTGAGGTGGTAGGTTTTGAATTTCTGAACTTTCCTTCTAGAATAGCATAAACTGAGGTTGGTTTTGACTTAAATGATGTTTATCCATGATCCATCTCTGCCTATTTAACTCTAACTTTGTTTGGATAATTTTCAACGTGTTACTTGCACTTTGATCCTCTGTTGTTGAAGTAGTCTGAGATTTTTGCTACTGTTGCTTGTTCAGAAACAATGGGCGACCGTGCTTTGACTCGCGTTCACAGCCTCCGTGAACGTTTGGATGAAACTCTTTCTTCTCACAGGAATGAAATCTTGGCCCTTCTGTCGAGGTAATCAGCAAGGATCTTTGCATTTAAAACTAGTTTTTTTTTTTTTTAAATAAGCAAGGGGGAATAAATTATTGGTTAAATAATTGATGAGTTGGAGTATTTATGTTGCAGGCTTGAGACTAAGGGGAAGGGGATCCTGCAAAACCATCAACTTATTCTTGAGTTTGAAGCAATCCCTGATGAGAACAGAAAGAAACTGAGTGATGGGGCATTCGCTGAAGTTCTTAGATCCACTCAGGTACATCATCAACTTCGTTTCCTTTTGCCACTATTGCGATTTCTTTTACAGTGCTTAGTTTCTTAACCTGTTTCGACTGATTTCAGGAAGCGATAGTCTTACCTCCGTGGGTTGCACTTGCTGTTCGTCCAAGGCCTGGTGTTTGGGAGTACATTCGTGTGAATGTTCATGCACTCGTTGTCGAGGAGCTCCGTGTGGCTGAATACCTCCACTTCAAGGAAGAACTTGTTGATGGAAGGTAATAAACTTTGGTTTTGATCTATAGATTTTTTACCCCATCTCTTTTATTTACTGAGTTTTGTTGCTTAATATGAATGTTTGTTTGTGTATTGCAGCACCAATGGCAACTTTGTGCTTGAGTTGGACTTTGAGCCATTTACTGCATCAGTTCCTCGCCCAACTCTCTCAAAGTCGATTGGAAATGGAGTGGAGTTCCTTAACCGCCACCTTTCTGCAAAACTCTTCCATGACAAGGAGAGCATGCACCCACTGCTTGAATTTCTCCGAGTCCACTGCCACAAGGGCAAGGTATACCTGTTGGTCTTTAGATTTACTGGATTTCAGGATGTGAAGATGTTCTTAAGAAAATGACCGCTGTGCTAATTTGTTAAATGTTTTGTGCAGAATATGATGCTGAATGACAGGATTCATAACCTGAATTCTCTTCAGTATGTTCTGAGGAAGGCCGAGGAGTATCTGTCTACGCTGGCACCTGAAACACCCTACTCTGAGTTTTTACTCAAATTCCAGGAGATTGGTTTGGAGAGAGGTTGGGGTGACACCGCAGAGCGTGTTCTAGAGATGATTCAACTTCTTTTGGATCTTCTTGAGGCACCTGATCCCTGCACTCTCGAGAATTTCCTTGGCAGAATACCCATGGTCTTCAATGTTGTTATTCTCACTCCCCACGGATACTTTGCTCAAGACAATGTTTTGGGTTACCCTGACACTGGTGGCCAGGTATTGAAGTTGGCGAGCGTAATCTGTTGTAGGTTTAGTTGGTGTTATATATGCTTTGTTAACTAATTTAAGTTTCTTCCAGGTTGTTTACATCTTGGATCAAGTGCGTGCCCTGGAGGATGAGATGCTTCTTCGTATAAAGCAGCAAGGACTTGACATCACCCCTCGCATCCTCATTGTAAGTTTTCTCAAGTTCAATGGGATATATGAGCCCCTTGTTGTGGGTTAATTTGTTCAACTGGCTAGAATTGTTGGTGTTATACAATAGATCTTCGGATCAGATCCCACTCTCACTAAGGTGGGGAAGGCTGGGAAAGGGTTTGGGTTAATTTCCAAGTTTGTAAAAAATAGTTATGGTTTCTTTTAGTTTATTCAAAGCTGTGTTATGAGCCTAATTTTTGCTTTGTGCTAAATCTTATTGTCATACACAGATTACTAGACTCCTCCCGGATGCAGCAGGGACAACTTGTGGTCAGCGACTTGAGAAAGTGTATGGAACTAAGTATTCAGATATACTCCGAGTTCCCTTTAGAACAGAGAAGGGAATTGTTCGCAAATGGATCTCACGATTTGAAGTCTGGCCCTACCTAGAAACATACACTGAGGTAAAAACATTTCATTACGGGTAGAATTTTCACTGATTTTGATTTCTTTATTTTAATTGACTAATGAGCCATTTACTTTTTGATATTGCCAGGATGTTGCTGTTGAAATTGGTAAAGAGTTGCAGGGCAAGCCTGATCTGATCATTGGGAACTATAGTGATGGCAACATTGTTGCTTCTTTGTTAGCCCACAAATTAGGTGTTACACAGGTTTGTTTCTAAGACCTATAGCTGATGTCTCTTGTTGTTATTGCTACATTTAGATGCTTTTCTTTTCGGCACCTTGAAGTAGTGATAATTTTCTCATGTTTTTTGCTTTTCTTTCCAGTGTACCATTGCTCATGCTCTTGAGAAAACAAAATATCCAGATTCAGACATCTACTGGAAAAAATTGGATGAAAAGTACCACTTCTCTTGCCAATTTACAGCTGATCTTATAGCAATGAATCATACAGACTTTATCATCACCAGTACCTACCAGGAAATTGCTGGAAGGTCAGATCTCTTTTACACAGTATACGATATTATTTAATTATTTTTTACTAGTACTGCTATCATATCGAGGCCCTAAAATTGTTACCTTCTTTATGATTTCAGCAAGGATACTGTTGGCCAATATGAGAGTCACACTGCTTTCACACTTCCTGGACTCTACCGTGTCGTACATGGTATTGATGTGTTTGATCCAAAGTTCAACATTGTATCCCCTGGTGCTGATATGAGCATATACTTCCCGTATACTGAGGAGAAAAGAAGGCTGAAATCTTTCCACCCTGAGATTGACAAGCTACTTTACAGCTCTGTTGAGAATGAGGAACACTTGTGAGTTTGCCTCCCTTGCCTTACCATATTTTATATTTAATGTTTAACTAAATTGATAACACCAAATAAATTATTGAAATCAATTATTGTTAATGAATTCTTTTCAAACAGATGTGTGTTGAAAGACCGCAGCAAGCCTATCCTATTTACAATGGCAAGGCTGGACCGTGTGAAGAATTTAACAGGGCTTGTGGAGTGGTATGGGAAGAACACTAAGCTACGTGAATTGGTTAACTTAGTCGTTGTTGGTGGTGATAGAAGAAAGGAATCCAAAGACTTGGAAGAGCAAGCTGAAATGAAGAAGATGTATAGCCTTATTGAAACATACAAGTTGAACGGCCAGTTCAGATGGATTTCATCTCAGATGAACAGGGTCAGGAATGGTGAATTATATCGCTACATTTGTGATACAAAAGGAGCTTTCGTGCAGCCTGCATTGTATGAGGCCTTTGGCTTGACTGTTGTTGAGGCCATGACCTGTGGATTGCCGACATTTGCAACTTGCAAAGGTGGTCCAGCTGAGATTATAGTGAATGGAAAATCTGGCTTCCACATTGATCCTTACCATGGTGAGCAGGCTGCTGAAATCCTTGTCGGCTTCTTTGAGAAGTGCAAGGTGGATCCTTCTCACTGGGACAAGATCTCACTGGGTGGGCTGAAGCGCATTGAAGAGAAGTTAGTACACTGCCTTCTGTCTTTATAAGCTTTTGATGAGTTTGTTTGAAGTTTGTTTTGAGATTTTTTCTTTATTTCCCTTGTTGTGTAGGTACACATGGAAGATATACTCTCAAAGGCTTCTGACCCTGACTGGAGTTTATGGCTTCTGGAAACATGTATCTAACCTTGACCGTCTTGAGAGCAGACGCTACCTCGAAATGTTTTACGCCCTCAAGTATCGTAAGCTGGTAAGGTTCTTTGAAGATTTCTTGAGGCATTTTTAAAAGATGGAAAAAATTTGGTAAATGAATGTAGTTTCTGTAAGAGTATTTTTCTGATCATATTGCATTTCATCTGTGTGATGTTTTCAGGCCGAGTCTGTTCCTCTGGCTGTTGAGTAATTAAAAGCTGAGGAAGTGTCATGGTGGTTGGTCCAAGTGGAGGTTTCTGAGTGTTGAAGAATAATAGCTGTTTGGGGATTGCGATTGGACGAAATGGAATTTTTTACCTCTGCTTCATTTTTTTTCTTCAATATTTTTCTTTTGCGTTTTCTCGGCATTGTTTGCATCTGGGTTTTGAGCCCATCAATTCCAGTAAAGTTTGTGACTTTTGTTTTCTCATCTTTCTGCCTTCATTTCCTGCCTATTGTAATCTAAATATTTCAATCAATTTTAACATTTTACTCTGCTAAGACGGATTATCAATATCGCTGAAGAACCATATGTTGTGTTTTGACGAAGTACCAATTGGAAGTCATTTCCACTTTTCCGGCAACGAATAAGCAAATGAGATACTGAATTTCTTGAGTATATGGTGCAAAAGAAGTTCTGTAGGCAGAGGGTGATGCTGAAAGTTACTCAATATTTAACAGTTGTTTTCAACCAATGCCAAAACTCGATCACTGCCTCTTTGACAAAAAGAGCGTACGGATTTAATCCTTCGTCATCAATGTGAATGAATAATTTTCTAAATATTTTTTGCCGTTGGTTACGAGGAAGTACGAAACAATAGAATTAATTAGACATCTTATTTGCTCTGCCGTGAGATATCATATTATCATATGATAGGGGTCCCGTCCACTGACGGCCTTTATTCTTTAATCAAAAGCCGATAGTGACCGGCAAAAACAATAAAGAATAAAGAATAAAAAACTTTAGATTGGATTACAATTTGATGTGATATTTAAGTCAAAATATGTTTTTTAATTTGTACAGCCTTTTGGCTACATTAGTTGCGTCTTACATCCTTTACCCTTTTCTTTTTACAGATGTATGCACGGAATCTTATAAAGATTTGTATATAAAGTGACAGGGTAAGAAATGAATGAAGGGATAAATATGAAGAGTTTGATTTTTTGTATTCACTTTTTTATTCATTTTTTATCACATCACTACATAAATCTTTGTATAATTTCTTTGTACATGTAACCATTGTTTTAAAACCCGGACCAGAGGGTAAATCGTTTTGCTGTCCGGGTCACGGTTCAATCGGTCCAACCGGTTGGACCGGTCGATTGGACCAGTGACGTCAGTAATATTTTATTTTTAAAAAATTACCTATTAACCCCTTAAATCTTAATATATTACAAAAATTCCCTTAAAAAAGTTCAAATTGGTCTCTAAAATTTTTATTTATTCCAAAAATACCCCAATAAAATTACCAATTAATCCCTAAACTTTTGATATATCTTCAAAATACCCCTATAAAATTACAAAGTAACCCTCATAATTTTAAAATATTTCAAAAACCCCCCTGAGACCTAAACCGGACCGGAGAAGCTACCGGTTCACGGTCCAACCGGTCCGGTCCGGTTTTTAAAACAGAGCATGTAACATTATTATTTTTTTTTGTGTGGTTGAAACCTCTGATTTAAAAGTCAGATCGATCGGTCTAACCGATTCAATCGAGATCCGATTGTATGTGTCCGATTCGAACTAATATAAAACCCACTATTACTTAAAAACCACTTAAACCCGTTATCAAATCGGATGAACAATGCGACCCACTCGGTCGAACCGGACCTCTTGGTAAACCGGGTCAATATTTAAAATGAAAAAAACCCTAAATCTGATTTATTTTTCACGTGACTCCACTTCTCCATTCTCTTCAATCTCTCAACTCTCCAAAATCGCAACTCCCTTCTCAGATAATTGCACTCAATTCAATCTCTCAACTCCATCTCAACTCTACTCTCCCTTGAACCCTTGCTCGACGACGACAGCACCTCCCTCGTTGGATTTCGATGATAACGCACTTCCCTTCTCCCTTGCTCAACGATGGCAACACTTCCCTTGTTGGATTTCGGTGACGACGCACCTCCCTTCTTCCTTGCTCGATGACGGCAGCACCTCCCTTGTTGGATTGTGTCGCTCAACGACGACATCACCTCCTTCACTGGATTTTGGTAACGATGCACTTCCCTTCTCCCTTGCTCGACGAAGGCAGCATCTCACTCGCTGGATTTCGGCGACAACACACCTCCCTTCTGCCTTGCACGATGACGACACCTTCCTCCTTCGCTGGAATCGACGACGACAACACTTCTCCTGCTCAAAATCGATGAAGATGACACCTCTCTCTTTTGTAAAGATATTTCCACTCTTTTTTTTTTTTTTTTTTTTTTTTTTTTTTTTTTTTTTTTTTTTTTTTTTTTTTGGATAATTTGTTTACTGAATTTGTATGTAAAAAACACTTGCAGTTTTTTTTATTAATTATTAAGTATTTTATCATTTAATTTGTAATGGATGATGTTTGGGGACTTTGGATTGTAGTTAAATTGGGATTGTTATTGAGTTTGAATTGGGTAGTACTTTAAGTTAGTATTATGAAATTTTCAAAAAAAAAAAAAAAAAAAAAAGAAGATATTTTGTTTTGGCTGAGCTAACATCACTGGTCCAACCGACCGGTCTAACCGGTTGGACAGGTTGACCCGTGACCCATACAGTGAAGCGGGTTGCCATCCGGTCCGGGTTTTAAAGCAATGGTTGAAACTTGAAAGCATACTACTTCCTTTTCTCTTAAGATGCGTTTGGATCGGTGACATATAAGATAAAATATGCAATTTTCGTTTATTTTGTAAGATTATGATATTTAGTTTGCAAGTAATAAAACATTATGAGAATCTTTTATTGCAAATAGTATTTATTGTTGGTAATGTGGGGTAATACGATACCCTCCCCCAACTATTGGGATTAAAACATTACTGGGATAATCTAATTTTTATACCTATTTTGCCCTTGATTAAATACCATTTCGAACACAGTTGCCCTTAAATATCTACCAAATAACAATTTCTCAGCCCCTCTACATTTGAGAAATTAGCTAAAACACTCCAGTCATAAAAAGTTTAAAAGTTAACAAAAAACCCTTAGCCACCCAATACCACCGCCGACTGTTACTCACTACCGTTGACGTCAGTCGTTGTAATGATGCACGACTAGCGGGATTTGGTTGGTTGTGCGTTAGTAAGACATTTTCCAGATCCATGGCCGGAAATGACCAGATTTGACCGTTTCTATGATGTTTCACGTCCATAGATCTGTGATCCATGACTAGAATAGGCTTTACCGACGCACGACTGGCCATATACAACCAGTTGTGCGCCATTCTGTCGACTACCGATGACAGCCGGTGGTGGTGGTTGGCTGCCGGTGGTGGTGGCTGGCTGCCGACAATGGCTTGGGGTGGGTGGCGGTGATTTTGCTACAAATTAAAGTTTTATATGACTAGAGTGTTTTAGCAAAATTTCAAATGTAAGGGGTTAAAAGAAATGATTTAAAAAATAATATTATATTAATATTTAAAAAGAAAGAGCAATTTAGTAATCTATATAATATACTTACTCATTTATCCTTCCAACCAAACATATTATTTACAAATTTATTCGAACCAACAAAACATATTTTCTAAATATTCCCAATCATCTTTAAGATGATTTATCTTTCCGTTAATATAACATTCTCCTATAATAAAATATTATATGATCCAAACGCCCCCTTAAGAGTATTTGCTTGTAGAAAAGTGAAAAGCAAAAACCCAATGCTACTTGTATGACAAAGAACTAAAAGCCCAAAAATTGCTATATGATTTTCAGAATTGCAAAGTTTACATTTCGCAACCATAGTGTAGAAAATCACAGTATTCTTTATGACATTGTAAGGTAAAGGCAAATCAACAAATGTGAACGCAAAATCCCTGTACACTTTGACGCAAACATGTAAAAGGTTGAAACTTGAAAATAAATATTTCTTTCCTACGTACAAAACTCGCCTTCGTATTTGGTAATTTATTTTCTAGGTTCAACAACTGTACACTGTGATCAGTATCTTTACCACTCATATGTGCAAACAGTGCCCTCTGCTATAGAGATTTTGCCATTATAAACAAGGCAATTCCTAACATTTACCATTTTACTCTCTATTTTCCTTTTATCCTTCTCACAGATTTCCAGTAATATTCTTTCAACCCCGACATCACAAGTGAAAATTGATGGAAGTCGCCAAGCATCCATAATCTTAAAGGTCTCAGACATTCTTCATGATGTAACTCAACCATTGACAGTCAGATAATTTTGTTCACTCCCTAATGGCCATTTTCAATTTCTTCCTTTCCCAGAGGCTGTCTCGGATACATAGTAACTGCCAATAATAAACAGAATACAAGACCAAATACTCCACTGAACGGTTGGAATGGATAAGTTCCAGTTACCCAAACAGGGAAATGCGGATTGTAGGTTAGGAAGCCACCAGTTTGTAAAACCAAACTAGAGGCCATAATCCCAGCACGCAAACCAATTGGAACAGAAAGGCTGCCTTGACTTCTTTGACGAAGACCTGCCAGAGCCAAAGATAATAGCCATAGTCCTGGAATTGCCTGTGGAGACCTGAAATCTCAATGGCAAGTTACCATAAGTGGTTGGAAGAGTGATTGCCATATCATTCTTAAAACTCAATGCTATAACATACCAACTAAGTTAACATATCTATAGCAGAAATTTTGGGGAAAACGAAGATCAACAGAATGATCAATGAATTCCTTGTAGCAAAACATTATCATATTGTAAGAATTATTTCATTAATTGAATCTGGCAATTGAAGAGGTTAGGTCAGCAAAATATGTCATCTCAAGATTCTCAACATAACAATACTGCTTGATCAAACACCTTTAATTAGCATGGATGCTCATTCACTATTAACTAATTTGTCAACTGAAATTTAAAACTAAATTTTGACCCAAATGAAAGTTCAAGGACCTAAAGAAAGTCTTAACCTTTTTTGTTACACGTTTCCCATAATTTAGAAGGGCCAAAATTTTCATGGTAGAACGGCCAATATATTGCTAACAAAATGGGAGAAAGGAAAATCAAGATTGTAAGGCTAGATTAACTCTTTCAACTCCATATGAGATCAAGGATGGGAAAGTAATGGCAAACATTAAAACAGTAAAATTACATCAATATAATACTGCAAAATAGCAATTAAAAATATACCTCTGAAATAGAGAAAATGCAAGTCCCGAGATCATAATTCCACGATGATAACCAAGATCTGTGGCAATTTCTTCAGGCAACCATGACCTGAAAAGCAATTCTTCAACTAGCAGTACGGCAGTTGCTGTTATGATACCTCGACATGCCAGCATAAAGGATTTCCCACACACTCTGAGCCACGTCACAGCATTTAAAGGTGATGGAATACTTGATGGCCAAGAGAAATTTGCACAACCGAGTAAAGCCTTCACTGACTGTAGTAATAGCACAAGCATGACACCTGCAATAAACCCCTTCAAAAAATTTTGGCCCTGCTAAGGGAAAAGCTCAATGTTAATTCTTTCTCCAAGACAAGCAAAGCCAGAGGATGCATATCCATTTAAAGACCATAAGGTTGCAATACAATATGGAAGTCAGGTGAATCAACATCCAAACTACTTATTAATTTAAAAATTATATATTCACTAAAACGAGGAGAAGAAATTGTCATTTAATTACACCTTTGATGACAAAGATCAATGGAATCACAGACAAATAAGAAATCTAAAACTGTTTTTGGTGGAATGGGATATTGAAAAAAATGAAGCACGAGAAACATTGAGAGTTTGTTTGCCTAGAAGGAGGTCACAATTAATTAGACACTGGCACAAAATGCTAGATCTTCGCAATCCTTTCACTACCTTGAAATCAACGGACAATTCTAACTTCACTTAAATTCACATAAAGATTGTTCCAACATGCCACTACTGCTGCACACTGCTGAACTAGTGGGCAAAATTTGATATTCAGGCTAAAACTTCAGTTCCAATGAGGATCACCCCATTGTCATCATGAACATAAACATTAAATCAGTCGCAGTTGCTAATGTCTAGACCTTGTCTGACATATATTTCTAGATTATAATCATACCTTGGATAACGAAGTCATATCAAGCCCATACCGCTCCAGTGGATTTTCATATCCATGTATTCTTCTGCCCCATATCACGACCAGTATCATAACAGCAGTATAGAGCCCAATGATGCAAGCAAGCTCTGCAATTCTGGAGGGATTATTTGTTGCCCAACTCTGCACAAGAGTTGGCAGCAGCGGAACAACAACAGGTGACCATAGAACAAGCACCATGCCGACAAAACCAAGAATCCTAAGGGAAGAACCAAAAATTTTAAAAGAATTACTAATAAAATAATATACATGTAATTTAAAAAAAAAAAGATCTATTACTTCATTCATTTAACTCTACAAAATTCTTATTAAACCATCTAGGGAAGACTAGATGTCCCTTTACCAGTCTGTTCTACAAGGGTCAATATCTTCTCTTCGGAATAGAGTGTAAGCCTACAGTTCAAGTAGGTTGCAGTGGTTATACGAATCAAAAACTAATACTATCTTCCATTTCAGCCAAAATAGGGAAAAACTCTTAATAAGAAAAATACTTCCTTATATTGATTTTAACTCCTGTCAAGTTAATTTTGGTTTACTACAGTTTTCCTAAGGAGAAAAGGAGATTGATAGATGAAACATTAGATACTGCATAATGACCTTTAAGAATACCTTTGGAACAATGGGCGATCAGCTATACGCAGAAACAAGATAAGCTTGTCAGTCAGACTCATTGCACCACGTAGACCACCCCAAAGCAAAGCAATTTTGCCAACTAGCTTCAACATGCCACCCTTTTGTCCTAAATCGGCCAACATTGTGACCAACCTGTTCACGTAGGAAGTGAAAAAAATACTCTTTAAAAAATAAACTGAAAAAGTCCTTAAAAAAAAAATATATAAACAAGTTATGAGTTAAAGACCTGTCTTGATCCACTTCACCACCTCCCTTTGTTGGTACTACTGGACCAGCAACTGACATGGCTTTCTCAGCAAGGCTTGTGACTATGCTATTCTGGTTTCTTTCAGACATTGCCTCCTCCAGCTTCGCGGGTTCTTTCTGATGATTTTCTTTCTCATTTAAGGGCTTGGACATATTTTCACCAATTTTGTTTTCATACGAATCCTTCACATTTACGTTCAGCAGCAAGCATGAGAAACACACATGTAAGACTCCCACCCCCTCAACCCAAGAACAAATAATAGATAATGACATAATGAAAGTTCATAACTATAAAATATGGAGAACAGACTTGCTGCTATTACATAAATAAATAATACAGAATAATTAACATATTAGTGCTGCAATATACTTCAAGAAAAGAGATATTTCTAACGCTCTCAAGCACCTGAGAAACAAATTGCAGACAAACTATCACACAGCAGAATCTGCTACCTAGAGGAAGAAAGATACCTATACCCAGTAAAGAACTTATATGCTGAGAATGAAGTTTGTGTTAGTGTCTATTTTATACAATTAGTTTAGAAAAGCCACACAGAAAAAGGAAATACATATATGTCAAATACGCACTTAAATAAATTAATGCATACCGATTGCTTTACAAGTAATGCAGATGCTCCCAGGGCAGCTGTAACAGCACCAGCCATGACACCTCCATTGTTTAAGTTTTTCAATTTATCCCCTACCACTTCTCTGTTCACTGAAACATTTGAACTAGTGTTTTTGTCAAAAGGCATCTGACTAATCTTTGTTACCCCGACCTTATCGTGTTTTCTCCCCCCAGATTTCTTGTTTAGATCATAGACCATCAGTTCTTTTTGACCATTATCATTCTCAGTAGACACATTGAAATATTTTCGCAAAGCAGCTAAACTAGAGCCTCCAATAACACCAACTGGAAGCACTTTTCTCAGATAACTTGTGCCCTGGACAGCAGAGGAAATGGCTCTAATAATATTTTCACCTTGAAGTGCGCCAACTTTTTCGGAAGTACAGTCCATACTGTAGTGTTTATCATCCAAATACCAAATATGTTCCCTGTCATTCCCAACAGCCAAAGAGACAGCATTTGCCACTTTTTCTATATCTCTAACAACATTTGATTCCATTTCTTTCCTATCAGATGGACTTAGCTTGCGTTCAACTTCGACCTTCAAAGAATTAAACATAATATTTTTCACAAAGCGCATCAACTCTGTCAATGCAACCTCGCTACTTTCAACATTTTCACTCATATGATCCTTCATTTTATATTCTCCAGCGGGTTCTTGTTGTTTATCTGTATCTAATATTACATATGGTGGTTCAATAAATTTATCTGCATCATCTACCTCTGCAAATGAGTGGGCTTGCACTTCTCTGTCATCATCCTCACAAGTGCTAAAATCACGAATAGAATCTCCGAAATTTCCAGTTTGTTCCCAGAGCTTCCATTGACCTTCTTCTGGAAAGTAGTCAAGCAATAGAGCAGTAGTTGTATCCAGATCCAATGATTTGGCATTTGGCATTTTTGAGATAGGATATCTGCTTAAGTGTTCATTTTGTGTTGACTCCCCATAAGGATTCACAGGGTTGTATAATGGTAAGTTATTTCCATAATTTAGTCCATCTGAATTTACAGACAAAAGTTTGCTCCCAACTATTTCCCTCTTTTTCTCCATATCTAAACTTTTAGCTATCTTATTTCCCTGAGAATAATTAGGACCATTGCTATCAAATAAAATGGGATTTTGATTGTGTTCACCCTCCACTCTCTCAGTTCTTGCATCATGATGAATGTCCATACCACTTTCACAACTATTATCTGTAGAAGGATCAGATGATGCAGGAGACTGTAAACTCAGCTCATTCCCAAAGTCTTCTTTTTCCAATCTTTCATGACTTCCAATTCTTTGTTTCTCAGAGAAATGATCAATTTTCTCATCCTTAACCTCATTTCTCTCCTTGACATCATTTGCATCACCATTTTCCTCTTCCAACTGAGTAATCATATTTTCTATTACACCGAAAACATTGTTAACAGCCATTTGGGTGGAATCATCCATTCCTGTCAGTGCATCTAGTGCTTGAGAAACACTGAAGGTAGAAGGATTAAGATCAGGTGCAGGCTGCAAAGTTTTATTTTCTCTCTTCCGATTATCATCTCCTTCCTTCTCAATTGATTGAGCTTCAGAAGAGGATCCCATAGGCGAAACTGTGTCCTCTGTAACATTGGCAGATGTCATCTTATTTTGATCAGAGGAAGGATCAAGGGCTTTATCTCCGGCTTTCTGGGTACTATTCTCAGGTTTTGTTTCTACTTGGGATACTCCACCTTCCTGTTCCACTTTGGACTCATATTCCTCAGGACCTACAGCCTTTTCAGGCTGACCAGTATTGTTAGAATTAGCACTTATCTCTGATCCCTTATCACCAATGTTAGAATATGGAACAGCCTTTTCTTTAGTGAACCCATCATTTTCATGATTATTTCCAGACTCGTTAGTGTTCTTGCTGACTGAACTAGAAATATCAGATTGAGGACCACTCATTGACTTAGATAGACCTACATCATCAGATTTCGGAAAATTTTCTGAAGGTAATCCACCATCAGGCTTGGCCATGCCAGGTTGTACGTTGTCAGAGCCCTCCGCCAAATTGTCAACCCTTTTCACCTGATCTGCTCTATGAGGATCTTTATACAACCCTTCAGCACTTGATATTCCTATGACTTTCTCTTGGATCTTTGACTTTACGTTAGGTATCTTACCAATATCCAGAAGTCCATCTAATTTTAAGTTTCTGCCCTCAACATGCAAAATCCCAGATACTGCAGCCATAAGATTTCCGCGCACATCTTCAGGCACAGCATCTTGCAGAGCTTTCATAATTGTCTCTCCTTGACCAACAGCAGTCAAGACCTGGACATAAAAATTACTGAAACATTATAATAACCAAAGGAAGGAACAAGTTAATGTAACTGGAAATTTCATATCCTAAAACTTATGTATAAGTATTTTAACCAGAATAAGTTTTCTTTAAGATATATCCTAAGACTTCATATGATCAACTTGTTCATAAATTTTTTTTTACTTGTGGTACAATATACTGATAGATTGCCATGGTATCAGATGTACCCACACATTGTTTTTTCTTCTTTTCATCTCTTTTCATGATATGCCTTTTTTTCTGGATTAGAAATTATAAACTTTGTAATAAGAATTAAACGCCAGTATGTGAAGAAACTCTGCAAACTAGGTGCCATGAAGAATAAAAAAACCAAGGGGAAACAAATTCTGTACGAAATACAACGAATAATCATCCCTACCCTGGACACAAAGCACGAAGACTATACAAAATCAACTTAGCAGCCCTCCTCATTGAGATGAATAAAGAAAAAAAACAAGAATCCTGTAACTCCTTGGGAATCAAAGCAGAAAAAGCAAACTCTCAGCAGTTTCAGCAAAAGCTTTTTAAAGGCAGGTGAGAATTTTTTATTTGAAAGTGGTCAGAGGGTAAGAAGTAGTTAAGTTAAATTATTTCTTTAAGATGCCAATTATATCCATATTGCGTTAATAAAAGACAGTTATTTCCTCATTCCATATTCAAAATCATTTTAAATTATAAGCCTAAAATATTTTTATTTTTAAGCACACATATACACTTGCATGCTTGAATTTTTATGCTCACTTCAAATCAATCATGTACAAGACTACGGCTCCAAAAATGTAATATTAGCATGTAACATATTGAGCCCAGAGTAATTAAGAGATGAATGTCAAAACAAGAAATAGCAAATTCAATGATTACCTTTTTCTTCTCTTCTTCTGTCAGTGTGCCAGGCATAGTTACGTCAAGCATATTCATAACCACTTGTGTAGACTGTAACACTTGGCTCCTTTCGCTATCTACTGGACTGCCTTCCTCCTCTTTGACCAGTTCTGCGTCAACAGGACCAGTCTCCTGCAATGCACCATTGTCCATTTCTTGCAATTCCTTTTTGTCAAGCTCCACATTTCTTTGTGGCTCTCTTCTGTATCTTTGATGGATGCTATCATTATCATTACTTTTTTCCAGCATTTCCTTTATACCGTCAATGGAATAACTGTTCAAAGCATTTGTCTGACTAAGATCTAAGAGCTTGTTAACTTTAACATCCTTATCAGTTGCTCTACCTTCCACAAGAGCTAAGCCTTTTGAAGGGTTGATGGTAACATCTACATCTTTCAGAAGCGGATGACGACCCTTTAATAGTCCAAGCTCCACGGCTGTGAGCCACTGCATTCACAAAAAGAATACTGATCAGAATATCACTTGTCACCCTAATATCCAACATATTTGATGGAATTGAGGGGGATGAAATTATAATTTCAAATAAAATATGATAATTGGGTAAGGGAAATTACTCATGACAATTATCGAACTTAAAAGCTTTGAGGCATAGTGACGAAGAGATTCCTTTTTTTTTTTTTTTTTTTTGATAAGAAACCATTAAACTATGTTAAAGAAGAGGTTGATGTATGTATATCAGTGGACTAGAAATCTACAGAGAGATAAAAAAATCTGAAGAGGGGAACTATTATCTGCAAGACAGTGAAAAAAATATACCAAACATAATCTTCCATTCCCTATCCTAGAATAAGCAAACAAAGTTAGCCCAAGATCTCCTCCCAACTTTGAAACTGAAGCCCAACTAGAAGCAAAAGGTCTAACTCTATCCCATAAAGCCTCATTGTTATCATCTCCTTTCTCACCAAATATACGATTATTTGTTTTTCCCATATAAACCAACTCCAAAGAAATTTAGCTCTCTTTCCCTCTTGAAAAGAAACACATAAATGCAACCAAGAGATTCCAACACAATAAGTCCCTTAAAAGATTCTACTGTTCTTGCTGATCAAGATATGAACGAAAATTGAATTGCTGAGGACCGAACATAAAATAAAATAAATTAAAAAACAAAGTGAAAAATAAAAATACTATAGCTGAGTATCAGATCAGAGTATTGTTATAGACAAGAAATGATCTTCATTCCCTGAACATCAAATCAAAATTTCAGGGAAAAAAAAATCTAACTCTCCACAGCTAGCATTCTCAGCAAAGAGAAAATTGCTCATTAAATTCTAACACAAATATATTCCGTATGGGTAAATTTAAGTAAATAAAGAGATATAAAAACTTAATGGTTTACACTAGGATTTCAAGAAGCAGCTATAAAGAATTCAAAACAATGAAATTCAGAGATAGTTTATTTAAAAGTTATGTTACAGTAATCTTAGTGTGATTCTTAGAACTATAAACACAATAGATGAAAATTATTAAATGATTCAAAAGACCCAGACATTGCAATGGAAATGATAGAAATTATCAGCCGCCCATTCAGACAAACAACCCACCTTTGTTGACAATGAGGTAGATTTAAATTCCTGTATTCAATCTTCAGTAGCCAACGAGAAAGAAGTCATTACCTCGATGGTAAGATGCTGGCACCAATATTCAGCAGCTCTATTACTTGCAATAATAGTAGATGGAGGACAAGAACACAAGAGAAGGCTAGTATATGGATTTTCAGCTATCAAACTGCGTGGGACGGAAAACGGTGGCAGTGTTCCACTATCATTCTGACAAATTGACAGGATTATGATTAGTTAACTTCTGTTAAAGGGACAGAGCACTTATCTTAATGATCAACTTCAGAATAGTGGAATGGTTGACAAGCAAGACATTATTGACAGCAGATAACTGATGCATATTTTGCAAAATCACAACCACTACTAGATCTTTAAGCAGATAATTAAGAAAGATGTTTGCCATACTGAGAGACAGAAAAAGTGAATTATATTGCATTGACCACTAAAGCTATCTAATTTTTGCATTTAATGGTAGGTAACAGCTTATCATGTGCATTATTTATAATTTTCAACATATGTGCTAAAATATAATCATGTGTTTGTATGCTTGTAGAAGAACCACAGATAGTAAATGTTATTATCAGGCTTGCAAGTATGTGGCTATCTCCTAACGAAAACTGCATAGCAACCTCAAAATGGTTGACGTATTTTTTTATAAATGAGAGTGTGTTAGGATCCCACATTGGAAGGGAAAGGGGTGGGCATGTGGTTATAAGAGCTTGGGCACCCCCCCTTGACAAGTAGGTTTTCCAAGGAGAGTTCTACCCAAGTCCACAAAAAGACCACTATCTATCTCAATTCTATCAAGGGCCTACTGCTTAGCTCAATTTCTATCAATTTGGGATTGGGTTCCTATCAAATGGTATCAGAGCAGACTCCACCTTCCGAGCCCATGCAGCAAGGCTCAGTGGCCCCCCGAGGGGTGGAGAAGGAGAGTTGTTGACAAGCTTCTAGGCGAAGTAAGACTCGAAGGGAGGGCAGTAAAGGCCGATGAGGGCATGCGCTCTCTAGAAAAAAGACCAACGAGGGTGTTGGGTCTCGAAGTAAGGGGAAATGTTGGGATCCCACATTGAGAGGGAAAACGGGTAGACATGTGGTTTATAAGGGCTTGGGCATCCTCCTTTGGCAAGCCGGTTTTCCAAGGAGAGTTTTACCCAAGCCCACAAAAAGAACACTGCCTAGCCCAATTCTATCAAAGGCCTACTGCCCAGCCCAATTTCTATCAATTTAAGAGTGGGTTCCTATCAAAGTGCAACCTTGACAACTCTCCTTACACATGTTACACAAGTTCCATGTCCTTAAGTGAAAATTGGAGACATATCCTACGAGTCACAGAAATTTTGGAAATTCCTCATTGCGTGGTGTTACTAAAGTTGCAAGTTAAAACTAGCTATGCTCGCTCACCCTGGTAAGAGGTAACTCAATTAACCTGCTACTGGACTCATAACAACAAATGAACCCATTTTGACTAACCTACATCTGGACTGGACTTGACTCAGATGTTATCTTATAAGCCCAGCCACCTAAGACTGACAAGGTATAATACTCAATTAAGATTACTCATGATATAGAAAAGTGAAGCTTGAGAACCCTTTATATCTAGCTCAGTACAACAAAGCAGAAAAATAGATTCTAAATAAAGAAGAAAAGATCCTAGAAATATGTTCCATTGAACCATATAAACAATACCATAAGTTTTGGCCAATATTGGAACAGGCATAATTCAAGAATAAATTGGTCTTGTGCAAAGTCCAAAGCAAGATGGAATTAGAACCACAAAAATATGCACCTGTATAAATAGAACAGGAATCTTCACATTTCCAGCCATACTTCGAGTACTAGATTCCGAATAGAAGTCTTCAATGGCCTCAAAACCATAAGATACCATAGATATTGCTTGTTCAAAATCACGAACAGATTTTGCCAATAGAGCCTTTTCCACATCAAAACCTTTTGCTCGGCCTTGAAATAATTCCTGAAGAATTAACTTAGAATAAGTTGTGAGAACAAACCTAAGGATCCTACTTAAATTAAACGACTAACAAGATTTGGAAAAATAAAACATTGAGTGTTGCATTCCTCCAATGAACGTTTGAAACATTTGCACTGGAAGAGTAAAACATTTGAAGCAATAATCAACCTTGTTAGATCGCAGGATATCTATCAATCCATTAGTGAGCTTCTGATCCAAGGCAATGTGATGAGGAGAGGACCTTGTGACCTCCTCTAAGTCAAAAGGATTGTCTATGCACGTTACAGCTGTAAGAGGTGTGCTTTCTCCAACTTCTGCCAAGTATTTTGTCAACATGTTTGCACCATATCCCCAGCCAACACCCATCAAAGTTGTCCATGGCCTTGCCTTGTTGATGAACTGTATAGCAGTGCAGATATCATCGCTGTCAGCAGCCGTAAATAACCTACATAATGTAGTTAAGCAGCCCTACTATCAGGTTAGTTTTGGAAAGAAATATTCAACAAGAACCTGTACAGATTAGTTATCACCTAGAGCTCAAGTATGAGACTCAAACAAATGACGAAGAGGAACTCAGGCACAGTCTCATTCATTTGTCATACTAGCAATGACATCCCATCAAGCCACACCTTTGCTTTAACCAAATAACAAGTCATGTTCCCTTTTTTATCTTCACTTTGTCCACCCCTTTTTATTCTCAGGTTTATTCTACACAACGACAAGCTCACATCCTTCCTCAAACAACAACCAAAATCAAAACCATTGCAGTGTTGGCAGCCAGTAAAGTCTTTTGACATTTTACGATAAAACATGATTATGCAACAAATTGTCAATCATAAGGCCAAAAAAAGAAATTTCTCGTCTAATAAACACAACAAACTAATTGTATCCAGAACTTTCCCACACATCAAAACACAACAAATTAAATTACTGCAATATTAGAAAAAGTTTGAAATGCTCAAAATAAACAGCAGCTTGGTTGCTTACCGAGCTGTGGTAAGAGGCGAACCACCACAACCTCTAGGATTCATAACCACCGGAAAGAACCCGTGCTCCAGTGTTTCACAAACAAACGACCGAATACTCTTCTCCATGCTGCCCTCCGCGGTTCCCGGCACCAACAACAAAGTGGTGTCCAATCCATGCTCCTCCATCAGGTCCAAATTCGCAGGCCAATCTAACGAAACGACACCACCATCCTCCGTATTTATACAAACTCTTTGGTACTTCAATTTCGTCTCCAATTCACTCGCCCTCTCATCATCTCCACTTCTCACCTGAATCCTCCCACTATTTAATCTCACAAAATGTCTATCTTCCTTCACGAGCTTCTCATTTACATTCTCTAAGAAATCACTGTCTTTTAACGATATGGAAGGGCACCGAAGAATGACAAAACGATTAAACGGCGTCGGACTGGTGAACAAAACCCAATTTCCAATACATGATAGTGGGGGCGGTTTATTAGAAGTGGACTGAGAGGCATAAATAGCGAGTCCAGAGAAAAGGCCTAAAGCCGGAGCGAGCAAATCGAGGGAGCTAGTGGAGGCGAAGAGGTTTGGCAAGCTATGAAAGAGGTTTTCGAAAGGATAGTTGAGGCTACTTCTAACAGTAAGTTTGAAACGGCGACGTTTCCGATAGACGCGAACTTGGAGGAAGTGGATAGAAGTTTTCTTGAAGAGAATAGTGGAGGTGGAGGTGGAAGCGGTGGCGTGGAAAGAATTGAGGCGGAGATCATTGGCAGAGAGGTTCATAGTAATTTCAATGGCATGGATTGAGAAGGGACAGGACAAAGCGTAAAGCGCAAAACAAGTTCTGGAAGCGAAATTTGAAAGGAGGGATTGGATGTTGATGGTGGTGGTGGTGGTGGTGGTCGGGATTTTGCGCCTTAGTTTACCCGCGAAAGAACATATGGTTTCGGTTTGTTCCACATGGATCCCACCGTTACAACAGGGACTAGGAACAAAATGAACCGTTAATAATTTATTTTCCAATTTCACCCCTTGATATATTCCTCCAATTATTAGAGCATATTATTTGTCCAAGTTGTATTCCGGTTATTGCTCTTGCCACAATTATTACCATATATATTAAGAATAATCCTAGGCCAACAACCCCCTCTCACAACACAGACGTGGCACCTAATCTAACACTGTCACGGCAGCTCTACCACACCTAAAACAGAAACGATTGTTCTTTTCATATGAAACGATTGTTTCTTATAAATGTATGATCATTAGAAACGAAAGTGTTGTGAGTGAATGCTGAAACGGTGTCGTATTGAATTTAATGGAACGGTGTCGTTTGTGAGACAGCTCCTGAATGATCCTGACCGCTAATTCAGAAGGAAAGCCAACGGCTGAGATCAATCCTCCAGTCAACGCTATAAAAGGTTTAGGGTTCCTGTTATAACAGTAGATCGAACAAAAATTGAGAGCAGGTTTTCGTTTTTCTTTAGAAAACTAGGGTTCTTACTTTGAGTATGATTTTTCTGTGTAATCTGTGGGTTTCTTGAGTGGTTTGGGTTAATCAATCAAGGGAAAGAACTGTTGTGTTCTTGTTATAGGGATTTCTAGGATAGAGGAGTCCTAGGGCAGATTACGGGTTCAGAAAGTGGTGTTCGATCTGGGTTTTCTTGGAGAGTCTTTCTTTTGTAATTGTGACTGTAATCGAGTGTTCTTTAATCATAGTGCAGCGAACTCTCTTTCCAGAGTTCAACGTGGATGTAGCTTGCTCAAATCGGGCAAGTGAACCACGGTAAAGATCTTGTGTTGTTGCTTGTGTTTTCTGGGTTTATTGTTTGTTTCAGTTCTCTTTATAGGTTGATTGCATAACAGAAAGGAACGACCGTTTCTCAAGAGGAGGAGACAAAGAAGAAGAAGAGAAGACAAGAGCCATTTCTTATAAAGGTATGGCTGTTAGAAACGGAAGGAATGAATGTTTCTCAAGAGGAGGAGAAGAAGAAGAAGAAGAAGAGAAGACGAAGAAAAGAGAAGGAAATGTTCCTTTAAGGAACATCCATTCCTTCATAGGGGACGACCGTTCCTTCTCTAGGAATGACCGTTTGTTTCCCGTAATGCATGTATGCCTTGAGTGTGGTAGGAGCTGACCTGATAGCGCTAATCAGTTGACACGTTAAGGTTGTAAGAGAAGTTTATGAGAATAAGTTGTTAGTATAACATTACTCATATATTAATATTAAGAATAAAGAGTGATGCGCCTGCATGGAACTCACTAATTATTATTTTGTATACACAATTTGAGGATAATATTCTTACAAATCATAAATATGAGCAGGGATTTCGGAAAAGCCTTCTTCTTTTATTTTCAAGTGAACTTGCTACAAGTAATGTTAGTGATTATCTAATAACTGTATTTACATCAAGGAACTTCCAAATAAGAGAGAGCAGTTGTTTTAAGATAGAACAAATTTTTAACTTATTTGATCTTCAATGGATCGGGAATATTGTGTGATTTGGTTGGAAGAAAAAAAAAATGATTGAGTTTACTCAGGCAAGAACAGAAATTCAGTCTTCAAATATTTTTTAAGGCCGTTCTTTCCAAGTTTGGATAGAAAAATTTAGGAATAGGAAATGGTTCTTCATCCACATTTATAGAGTTCAGGGTTTGCAGAGAATTATCATTTCTAAAGGTTATGATTTTGAAGGCTATGGGAAAATGATATAGGCTCTAGAATCCATACTCAGGTGAGGCAGGTGCTAATGAAACCAAGGTCAATAGTAAGCAAGAAGCTTTAAGGAGCTTAAATCTGAGAAGACTATTGAGATCCTTTGTAAAATGTGTTAAACTTTAGGCGATGGAAGAGGGCAATAGGGAACCACCATTAGGTAGCCCGGCAGTAAAAAAAAAAAAAAAAAAGTAAAAGGAGGCTTCATCCGCTTTTTAGTTTGAATCATCCTAGACACTAATAGGGATGATCATTGAGGTTCTTATTCAACCAGTAGTTTCAAGACCTCGGAAGATTGGTTGAGGTATATGCAAGCTGATTCGGATAATCCTAGTGAAAAAAAAAAGGCAATAGTGTTCAAAAGATTTAGTATGTGTGATGAATGTGCAAAAATAAGACAGAATTTAAAAAAAAAAAAAAAAAGATTTAAGGAAGCTTTAAGCTTCAGCATTTTAAAGATGATAAAAAACTATTTTCTTTTGCTTGTATTCTAATGAAGAGAAGATTTTGGGATCAATGGGCTTCCCTAAATCGAAAGAAAAGTCATACATAGATTTGAAAAATTGGTACCCATTTGCAAAAAAACATTTGACAAGAGGCTATTAACAAATCAATGGGTTTAAATACTATTACTGGCCAAATGACTTGCGCATACCCAGGGTTTGCTGTAAAGACAGAGTGGTACCTAAAAGGTTTGAAAACGACAAACAAGTACCTTCCGTCATGTGCTGTTAGTGATTTTTGTTTGTTAACAGTGAAAAGACTAAAATGCCCTTCAAAGTTTGATATTTTAGTTTTTTACAAATTTAAAAATTTCTAAAAAACCCCCTAGGTTTGCTAATTTAACTAAACACCCCTATATATAAAAAGTTTGTTAAATGACAAAAACACCCCCACTACCTACAGTGCCAGATTCCGGCCACCACAGTTAGAATCTGGCCGAAAATTGCGTTACGACACAGACCCGTCGGATCTGTGTCGTAACGCTACGATTTGGCCTTTTCCGGCCAGATTCGTGGTTGATCTGGCCGGAAAAGGCCAGATCTACGACCAGATCTGGTTGTCGACGCCGCAAATGGAGTTTTGCGGCCACGATGGCTAGATCTAGCCGTAGATCTGGCATTTTCCGGCAAGATCAGCCACGGATATAGCCGGAAAAGGCCAGATCTGGTCGTCGAGGTCGCAAAACTCCATTTGCTGCCTCGACGGCCAGATTTGGCCTTTTCTGGCTAGATCCGTGGGGGATCTGGCCAGAAAAGGCCAAATCGACACGTTACGACACAGATCCGACGGGTCTGTGTTGTAACGCAATTTCTCGGCTAGTTTTCGGCGGTGGTGGTCGGAATTTGGCATTGCGGGTGATGGGGGTGTTTTTGTCATTTAACAAACTTTTTATATATGGGGGTGTTTAGTTAAATTAGCAAACCTAGGAGGTTTTTTAGAAACTTTTAAATTTATAAAAAACTAAAATATCAAACTTTTAAGGGCATTTTAGTCTTTTCACTATTAACAAACAGAAATCACTAACAGCACATGAGAAAAGATATCTGTTTGTCGTTTCCAAACCTTTTAGGTACCAGTTTGTTATTACGGCAAACCTTGGGTATGCGCAAGTCGTTCGTCCTACTATTACTTCATGAAATTATACGGGGGCATGACATAGTAAACGGCACCCTTAATATGTTAATAGAGTTCATAAATGCATCACTATAATCTTTAAATACGCTTACCATTGTGTATGAAGAAATAAGAATTATCTCTCAGTATGCATCGCTCTCCATTGTGCAGAAACGACATCAGGTATTTCCTTGACATGGAATAAACGGGCTAAGTTAATTGGCATCGTGGTTCTTGGTATTCCAAAGAGGATTGCTAGATCCACACCCATTTATAATCATGTAAGTATAAACAAAATAAAGTAGGTCAAGTTTGATGAATCTTCAAAATGTAGGTGTACCTGCTTAAAAGAGGATTAGCATATATCTAGCAGCACTTTGTCTCGACGTGGTAAATATTCGATAAGTGTATGCTTCAAGTGGTGAAATTTATAAATCATTGGCATTCAATGTAATTGATTGAAAATAATAATAATAATAATAATAATAATAATAATAATAAGTGTCCTTTTAATCTATTTAATATTTGATTGAGTTATGCTGACATCTTACTATAAATAGGGTTGACAATTTCCTGAGACAAGGTCGGGGACCTTCATCTCCAATCCCATCTCCGTTAAAGATGTTTTCTCCTTTGGCCCTAGCCCCCAACCTTGGATTTTTGGGAGCGAGCATGGGGCTGTCCTAGGAGGGGAATACTATACCCAACCCAGCTCCCGTACCCAAAAATCCTTGGATTTTATTCATTAATTTAAATGAAATATTAAGTACAAAATTATATATATTTAATAATATTACATATTTTTACCAATGATGAGGACAACTTTTGCAAGTTTTCACCTTTCCTTTTCTCTGTCCTCGGTTCCGGAGATATAGGCTTCGTTTGGTTGGATTTTGGGAATACTACTTTTAGTATTCCCAAAAAAGTTAAACAGTAAAATACCCAAAAACTTATAATATTATTCAACTTTATTCAACATTTTTTAAACCCCCTAAATTTGTTAATTCAATTAAATACCCCTAAATATTTTTAATGTTTTTGTTACGGCGACTCCGGCCACCCTCCGGCGGTGGTGGCCGACTGTCCGTATTTGAGGGTAGATTGGGGGTGTTTTTGTTAACTTTTAATGTTTTATTATAAGGGGTGTTTTGTAAAAATGCAAACATAGGGGGTATTTTATAATTTGTAAATCCTACATCGTAATACCCACCCAATTCAACTTTTTTTTTTAACTTTTTTCAAAAAACTTTTCCCAAAAACACAAAATTGTGAACCAAACGGAGCCATAATTTTTCTCAGAGATTTCTCACCTCTGAACTTAACCTTATTCAGAGATTTCTCACATGGTGAAACTGGGGTTTTTTGAGTATTTAACCTTGCTGGATATTTTCAGCATCCCTAATCACAAATGGAAATGCAAGTTGTCATCTATCAAAATCGAAGAAACCACAATTTATCTATATGAACCATTTAATCAATGAGGAAAGTCAGATTCAATCATATCATTTTTGCTTTTGTCAAAAATGACATAGAGATTGTCTTTTAGACGCAGCTTGATAATCGTCACTTTGTCGATTTGGATTTTGCAGTCAAGTAGACAGCCTTTCT